ATGTGATGTAAATACGTTAAGTAAACAATCTTCCATGATCAAATGATTTTTGGGAAATGTAGAGTTCAGCAAAGTTAAATAGGCTTCCTTTTGGTTGCCTTTGGGGGTGCCTATTAGCACTGTGACTGTCTAAGAGCCGTAGTAAAAAGGGCCAAAGTTTTTTGACCACGGCATCTGCTAGGACTGATATTTCTTTTCTTTTCTTTTCTTTCTTTCCTTTTTTTTTTTTTTTTTTTTTGATAGAGTCTGGCTTTGTCTACCAATCTAGAGTGCAGTGGTGGGATCTCGGCTCACCACAACCTCTTCCTCCTGGGTTCAAGTGATTCTCCTGCTTCAGACTCCTGAGTAGCTGGGATTACAGGTGCCCGCTACCATGCCCAGATAATTTTTGTATTCTTGGTAGAGATGGGGTTTCACCATGTTGGTCAGGCTGGTCTCAAACTTCTGACCTCATGATCCGTCTGCTGTGGCCTCCCAAAGTGCTGGGATTACAGGCACAAGTCACTGCGCCTGGCCTAGGACTGATATATCTAATATTGCATTGGAAATATTTTGGAAGAAATTGAGCTACTATGATTTTCACATTATTTCTTTGTATAGGTAGAAATGGCTCATTATTTCTCAAGGTTTCTAACATGGCATGTTGCTGCACTGTTCCATTCAGTTTTGCAGAGACAAAGTGTAGAGAGAGTCCAGGATGTCCTGGTTGAGACATTGAAGACTTAGGAATGCATTGATTGATTGATTGGTTGACTGAGACAGGGTCTTGCTCTGTCACCCAGGCAGGAGTGCAGTGGCTCACTCCAGCCTTGACCTCCTGGGCTCAGTTGATTCTCCCACCTCAGCCTTCCATGTAGCTGGGATTACAGGTACGAGGCACCACACCTGGCTAATTTTTATATTTTTTGTAGAGACATGGTCTCACTATGTTGCACAGGTTGGTCTTGAATTCCTAGCCTCAAGTGATTTTCCTACCTTCGCCTCCCAGAGTGTTGGGATTACAAGCCTGAGCCACTGTGCCTTGCCTAGGAGTGCTTTTAAGCCACTGTCTGATTCCTGATAGGAGGAAGATACTATCAGTGATTAAAGGGAATATCCCTGACAAAGTTTTCAGTCATACCTATGTGCTCAAATCATGGTCCAGTTGTGAGTTATTTCAGAAAACAGTTGCAGGGTACATAGAGGAATGGGGCAGGACAGGCTCCATCTGGGTAATTGATGTGAAAGGAGAAAGGGGCCTGGGAGATGTGGACTCCCAGGCCTAGGACTCCATTCAGTCCCCTGGAGGTCAGGTGAGTTATGAATATAGCTCATGTGCCTGCTGAACACGTGTGGGAGAGTTGTAGTCGAGGGAGACAGAAATCTAGGAGGAGACTTTTGTCTGCGAACTTGGGCTGGTATGCAGACCTTCTGCTGAAACCTGATGGAGTTAAGCTTTGAACAGTTCGGCAGATTCTAACTTGTCATTGTGGGGCTTGTTTGTAGCTGGGGTTTGGAGACTGTTTTTACACTAAATCATTCCTGTCACCGGCTCTCAAGTGAAGCAGTCTTCAGTATAAGCCTTGCTGGTATTTGTGTAGAGTGGCTGTGCCCCTGGTGGGAAGAATGTAGCAGCTTCACCTGTTTGCCACTCCTGAACCTCAGATCTTTGTTGACAATGATGCTGAGAGAAGAGGATGATATGTTGTATTTTAGAAGGATTAGAACTAGAAGCATAAACCTTTAAAAAGGAAGGTCCAGAGTCAGATAGATTTAGATTAATCGTTACCACCATCTTCTAGCTAGGAGTATTTTTTTTTATTTGTTCATTTGGGAATAACGTTACCTATTTTATAGAATTGTTTAGAATAAATGTAGCCTGTAACTGTATATAGTGTAATGAGGTAGTATATGGTGTAACACTTCACCTTCATAACTGGGTGCATTTTTGGTCTAAATATATGAGACAGACCTGGTACTCTTCAGAAGAGCCTTTGTGGAGCCTGTTTTTGGAGTCAGCAAGCCAGTTTAATAGTAGAGAACAAGAATTGCAGAAATAATTTTGAAGCAATGAGATTTATCTCTCTCTCTTGATTATTCTTAATATTTGCACAACTGTTTAATTGAAATTATATGATTTTTTATTTTAACAAAAGAAATTACTTTTCAGCATTATGGCAGCCTTGCCTTGCTGAGAAGAAACTGCTGTAAATATGTTATTTACCCATTGAAGGCAAGAACTTCAGTAGTGAATTTACACGCATTTTATTAAATATTACTTTTCAAATGTTTGAAATGATTTTGGGAGGCTTTCCAGTAAGATTTGCTAGAGAATGGTGGTGATGTTTATTACATCAGTTGTAAGAATTAAGTTTTATTTTGTAAACGTTAGTTTTCATTAGCTTATTTAGTGCTCCGAGCAACTCCAAGAGGTGCAAGAACCCATGTGTTTTCATGAAGAAAGACTTGAAGCTCAGAAAAGCTCCATGATTTTCTCCTTAGTGACCCACAGAAGTGGGGTTATGATCTAGGTCTTTTTGGCCAGCACAATTTGATCTCTACCCTTTTCCCCTTATACCATGGGTCTAGGATGTCAAAGGATTCAACCTTGGTTATTTTTAAAAGATAGTGTCAGCTGGGCGCGGTGGCTCACGCCTGTAATCCCAGCACTTTGGGAGGTCGAGGAGGGTGGATCACGAGGTCAAAAGATCAAGACCATCCTGGTCAACATGGTGAAACCCCGTCTCTACTAAAAATACGAAAAATTAGCTGGGCATGGTGGCTTTTGCCTGTAATCCCAGCTACTCAGGAGGCTGAGGCAGGAGAATTGCCTGAACCCAGGAGGCGGAGGTTGCGGTGAGCCGAGATCGCGCCATTGCACTCCAGCCTGGGTAACAAGAGCGAAACTCCGTCTCAAAAAAAAGATAGTGTCAGTCAGAAATAAAACTGAGATGTCTCCATATGTAGGAATTTTAGAGAAATAGTTTGTGTCTAAATTTGCAAGCTCATTCAGTTTAAAAATGGTTCCTATAATATGGTGCTCATTTATTACTTCAGATTCATTGCTTCAGTAATGACTTTTAAATAGGACTCTATTATTAGAGTGATTGGACTGAAGTCTGATTGGACTAGAGTTAAGAGATTGCATCACTATAAATAGAGTGAGATAAAATATTTTACATAATGTGATTGAACTTTTATGAGGTCTCAAAAGTTGGAACCTACGATCTTCTCTAAAAGGATACTTTCACCAGTTTCCAGATAAGAAGCTTCTCAGCGTGCAGCTTAAGTTGTAGATAGAGTGGCTGCTTAAGAGAGTTTAGGAATTAAATTATGTCCTTCAGCATGTTCAAATATGTTACCTGAGTCAGAGTTTCATTAGCTTCTTCATCAATACTTTTTTAACCCAAAAGCTTTGGAAAGTGAGATTAGCAAACTGATTAGAAAATTATTTAAAGACCAAAATGAAAACAGAACAACTCTAAAAGCTTTTAGTGTGTGAAGGAAATGTTAGAGGTGGTTGTATGTGAAGCCATTGATACAGTTTTTGGAGAGGACGGTTTTGGTAGACATAGATGAATTTAATACCCTTCTTTTATTTTTCATTTTTAAAATAGACATGGGGTTTTGCCATGTTGCCCAGGCTGTTCTTGAACTCCTGGGCTCGAGTGATCTGCCTACCCCAGCCTCCCTAAGTGCTGGGATTACAGGCCTGAGCCACTGCACGCAGCCAGTGCCATTCTTTAATAGTGCCACGAAAAGTTTGGAATGGCTTTAAAGGCATTTCAGTTTCCTCGTGATTACATAGTAATGTGACTAATTTCTGATATTTAGAATTTGGTTATGATAAACATATATGGGAAAAATGTATAGTTTGTAAAAATTTCTAAGTAGTTTTGAACTGTAGTGAATTAATAAGTGATTGGTAGCTGGGTGTGGTGGCTCACCTGTGTAATCCCAGCACTTTGGGAGACCAAGGCAGATGGATCACTTGAGGCCAGGAGCTCGCTAGGTAACATGGTGAAACTCCCATCTCTACTAAGAATACAAAACCTTAGCTGGGTGCACTGGCCTGTACCTGTAGTTCCAGCTGTGTGGGAGGCTGAGGCATGAGAATTGCTTGAACCTGGGAGGCAGAGGTTGCAATGAGCCGAGATTGCGCCCCTAGTCTCTAGCCTGGGTAATAGAGTGAGACTCTGTCTCAAGGAAAACAGCAAAAAATAGGTTAAGTTCTAATAAAACCAGAATCTTTTCCTATCACCTTAACTCTTGTAGTGGTGACTCGAACCTTCCTTCGCTCTGCCATCACCATCCGTATTAGGTTACTGTTATAAAACTACATTATTCTAGCATTTTTACCAAAGTTTGGATAAATAAATAGTTTTAGTAGCCATTATGTGTTTACATTTTTCCATTAACATAAGAGGTTAATATTTAGTTGAAGGACCAGTAGAAGCACAGTGATCAGTGGATACTGCTAAGAGTTTTTCCAGTAATTAGAGTGGAATTTTTAAAAAAACAATGTATTACATGCTAAGATTGAATGGATAGGGATGGGGGAGGAATAAAAGATGATATATTTTGCTATTGGTTTCTTGATGTGATATGTGATTGTGAATATTACCTCTAAATTAATGTGCAAAAAAATCCTAAGAAAACCCAAGTCTCAAAACCCCTAAAACAAAAAGGTGTGCCAAAGAGGGAAAGCACATACCAGATCATCTGCTTTGAATGAAGAATTTTTTGCTGACAGCCAAGTGGGGAGTGGAGCTGTAACTTTCGTTTCCATTTGGCATCAGGAAGCTATTTGGTGTAATCAAACAGTTATATAATTATAACAGATATATGCATGTGTCTCTTGAATAAGGATTGTTGGTTGTTTTATTTTTCAGTTTTCAGTGAATTAGAATATACAGTTAATGATTTAGGTGGATAGTGGTTTGATTAATAAATGCTAACTTTCATGGTTTAGTAAGATTTGAAATTTGATTTCTCTGTCTTTTTTTTCTTTCTCATTCCAGGGTGTAGATGAATGGAACATAGCTCGCCTGAATACAGTCTTGGATGTGGTTGAAGAAGAGTGTGGCATTTCTATTGAGGGTGTAAATACCCCTTATCTCTATTTTGGCATGTGGAAGACCACATTTGCATGGCACACCGAGGACATGGACCTCTATAGCATTAATTATCTCCACTTTGGAGAGCCCAAGTCTTGGCAAGTTACTTGTTTAATATTCATTTGCTTTGGAGTTTTGAAATTTGGCCATCAGGCTCATATTGAAGAGGATTTTTTTCTTTGATTTGGTGGATTCAGATTTATGTGAGCTGTAAGGAAGTTTTGACTGTAATAATTAATTGTCTTCTATTCATCCAGGATTGTGCTTGGAAGCCATAAACCCCATGGTGACTTGTACAATCACGTACTGTATAACTATGTTCAGATCAGTGATGGACCACATATACAGCAGTCATCCCGAGTTTATAATGCAATTGAAAAATTCCTTTTCCATGTTTAGATATGCTTAGCTACATACTTTGTAGCTAAATACTTAGGGTTAAAATTGCCTATAATACTTAGTACAGTACAGGTTTGTAGCCTAGAAGCAATAAGCTATGCCATATAGCATAGGTCTGTAGTAGATGCCACCATCTAGATTTGTGTAAGTCCTCCATGATGTTCACACAATGATGAAATTGCCTAACAACATATTTCTCAGAAAGTATCTCTGTTATTAAGTGATGCATGACTGTATATGTAAAGTTGCCTGCAGACCATTTTGTGGGCCATGAATTGATAGATATTTTAGGCTCCAAGAATTTGTTAGGCATCTTTACTTCTTTGAACATTTGTTGGATGGTACATAGGAGGTAGTTAGGAAGAGTTGACTTCCTGGATGTAGTTTCAAACAGTCTTAATGATCTTCTGGCTCATCCTCCTCTAATTATTATTTTTTTTAATTATTGTATTTTGTTTTACTCTTTTTGAGACAGAGTCTCGCTCTGTCGTCCAGGCTCTAGTGTAGTGGCGTGATCTCGGCTCACTGCAACCTCTGCCTCTGAGGTTCAAGCAGTTCTCCTGCCTGAGCCTCCTGAGTAGTTGTGACTACAGGCACCTGTTACCACGTCTGGCTAATTTTTTTGTATTTTAACGGGGTTTCACTGTGTTGTCCAGGCTGGTCTCAAACTCCTGAGCTCAGGCAATCCACCCACCTCGGCCTCCCAAAGTGGTAGGATTACTGGTGTGAGCCACCACGCCCAACCAATTATTTTTATTTTTTATTTTTATTTATTTATTTTTTCGAGTCAGGGTCTAACTGTTGTCCAGGCTGGAGTGCAGTAGTGCGATCTCGGCCCACTGCAACCTTCGCCTCCTGGATTCAAGTTATTCTCCTGCTTCAGCCTTCCGAGTAGCTGGGACTATAGGCATGTGCCACCGTGCCCAGTTAATTTTTGTCTTTTTAGTAGAGATGGGCTTTCACCATATTGGCCAGGCTGGTTTCTAACGCCTGACCTCAGGTGATCTGCCCGCTTTAGCCTCCCAAAGTGCTGGGATTACAGGCGTGAGCCACCATACCCAGCCCTCCTCTAATTAAGTAAGAATTTCCATTTAGTGTGGTAAGGGATGAATCAGGAGGCCAGTTAGCACTACTTGGATGATGGGTATCAGGAAAAAATAAGAATATTAATGCCAGTACATGTTTTAAACTTGCCATTTCCTGTATTTGTGAACCTCTTCCTCATCTTCCTGGGCAATAATTTTAAGATGTGTCTTTGTAAAGTGCATCATGTGGTACATTGGCTTCTCATTGGCTTCTCATTTGTAATTACTAGTCTCTCAGTCACCCTGGTATCATTTGTGGTAGGTCAGTTTTGTATTTCAATTTGTTTTCATTGTTTTTAGCCTTAAGAGGATTTAAATATCAGTTATATTTTCTCTAATACATGTACATGTAGGATAACACACAGAAGTATATGAAGCATATACTTGACACAACCCGGGAAATATGATGTTATGATGGTTGTAAGTATTATAAGATACTTTTCAGCTGCTTGTGCCAGCCCAGTAGCTCTCCAGTTGAAAGATAATGGCCTCTTTCAACTTCTTCTGTTGATTAGGCGTTGAAATACAATGTATGATATCTGTCTCCATCTTGCCATTATGTCCCCTGAGGTTTAATCATTTGGTGAATGGCTAAGTTGTAAGCTTAATATAATACAAAATATAAATACAGCAAAATTACTAATTATATAAAATGGCATTTAATTAGAAACAAAATTTTAGTTGGGAGGCCAAAGATTCTAGGGCATGTGAGAGAAATCCAGGCAGTTTCTTTCTTTTTTTTTTTTTTTGAGACAGAGTTTCGCTCTTGTTACCCAGGCTGGAGTGCAATGGCGCGATCTCGGCTCACCGCAACCTCCGCCTCCTGGGTTCAGGCACTTCTTCTGCTTCAACCTCCTGAGTAGCTGGGATTACATGCACGCGCCACCATGCCCAGCTAATGTTTTGTATTTTTAGTAGAGATGGGGTTTCACCATGTTGACCAGGATGGTCTCGATCTCTTGACCTCGTGATCCACCCTCCTCGACCTCCCAAAGTGCTGGGATTACAGGCTTGAGCCACTGTGCCCGGCCCAGGCAGTTTCTGATTTGCCATGGAGTTTTGTGATCTGTAAAAGTTTGTGGGAAGCTATTAAACTTATTTAAAAGATGCTTCACTTGCATATTTCATTTGATCAATTCTTAGCTGTCTTTTATTATTAAATTATTTTTTATTTTTATTTATTTATTTGTATTTTTATTAAAGATGAGGTAGGTTTCTTTTCTCTTTTCTTTTCTTTTCTTTT